GGTGGGATGCGGATTCGAACCCGGGACCCTCAGATTGTGAGTCGAGCGCCCTATCCACCTGGCCATGCCGGGCTAGAAAAACATACTAGATTGCTTTTCTAATGAAATAATTTTTTACGGTGAAGTTATTTAATTACAAAAAGAACTTCGATCTTATACAAATTATGTGAGAAAGCATATAAATGTATACATGTTCGCGTTTAATTCAGTAAGTTAGAAAACCCTCTAAACTAATACGTTTTCTTTTCCTACTTATTATCTGAAGACTTATTATTTTGAAGACTTAAATGTTAACAGAACAGTTATGATGATAATATCTTAGTAATATTTTCTATTGCTTGAATTAGGAAGTTTTTGCAACGTTTCTTTTTTTTTATTCTGACTTTTAGTTTCTTTCAATTTGAATATATGCAACATCAACTCAGACTGTGTCTACACAAGCTCCACGCGCACAATTTCAAGTTTTGATTAACAAGTCTCTATTAATCTCGTATGTTTTCCTTTAGTTTGTTTTACTTCAGGATTTTCGCGCAAATCTACACAAGAGATATTTGCGCATAAGCATCCATAATTTTGAACTGATAGACTAGAGGAAAGGCAACTCGTCCTCAGATAATTTTGAACTGATAAACTAGAAGAAATGCAACTCGTCATCAAATGATTTTGAACTCATAAGCTAGAGTAAAGGCAACTCGTCATTAGATAATTTTAAACTGATAAACTAGAGGAAAGGCAACTCGTCATCAAATAATTTTGAACTCATAAACTAGAGTAAAGGCAACTCGTCATCAGATAATTTTGAACTGATAGACTAGAGGAAACGCAACTCGTCATCAAATGATTTTGAACTCATAAGCTAGAGTAAAGGCAACTCGTCATCAGATAATTTTAAACTGATAGACTAGAGGAAAGGCAACTCGTCATCAGATAATTTTGAACTGATAGACTAGAGGAAAGGCAACTCGTCATCAGATAATTTTGAACTGATAGACTAGAGGAAACGCAACTCGTCATCAAATGATTTTGAACTCATAAGCTAGAG